GGTTCTATGACACTATTTTGATGCTGCTCATTAACTATTTCTATTTGTAGGCACATAGGTTTGGACAACATAAGGGAACCCCTATTAATGCATTTGCTGCAATGAAATCTGGCATGAAAAATGTGGATAGCAGTGGTAATTGTGGTCCGATCAGCAGCAACAAAGCACAACAATGCATGGTATGTAAATCTAAGTCTGGCTATGAAAACATACATTAATCGTTTAGTTTCTACAAAATTTTAGTTCTTGAAATCCAACCATGATAGCCTAAAATGGATACATGACTAGTGATTTCTGTTGAGCATGGACACCTGGTGTCCGATCCCGAGACATGGCGTCGATTATTGTGGTTGTGCTTGTCCCTGATGATGCGCTCAGCTCGCTTCTTTGGGAGGCTTGTGGATGTGGTGTAGTTTGATCTGGATTTGGGAGAGGGCAAACGGTACAGCGAAAGGTTGCTTGCACTGCCAGGAGGATTAAGGAACTTGCCTAGTGCCTAGGATCTACGACTGGCTTATTAGTTATTTATTATAGGTGTTGAACATGATACTGAGGCTTCCTCTTAAATATTCATACATCTCTGTCTCGTCTGTCTGGCCCAGATGATTGGGTTTGTCTGGATTCTGGAGCTCTGGGCCTCTAAATTATCCTTTAAGTTTCCTTTGCTGCTGCTCCAAATTTCATCAGAAGAACCATTATTGGTGCAAAACTAGTTGAGTGCTGACTCTGTGGTTCGCACAATGTTCAGGCTAGGATTTGCTGTTCTAGTGTTTGGAGGTAGTGTTCTGTTCTGCTTAGTTTCTGAATATTCAGAATGTTGTAGCAGCACTTGAAACTTGGCATTTTTGCCTCAACTTTGACTCCTATATAGTCTATAGATTCAATTTGTTACTCAAAGTCATCAGAATTGACATTTGTCGAGATAAAGACAAGAATTGGCATCAGTCACGGATGACTTGTCAGTGAGGCCAACTGGTGTATAGAGAGACGAGAAATAGTCAGCTACTCGGCTTATTCATGTGACAAACAAAAAGATTCCTGTGTGGCTCCCACTATAATCCATCCCTGAACATTAGAATATCTTTCAGTGAGATACCACATTGGAATTTGAGTTCACCCTCGTTTCTTTTCTTTTGCCTTGCCATTGCAGCCTGTTCATATAAAACAATGATAGCCTGAAATGGATACATGACTAGTGATTTCTGTTGAGCTTCTCCTGATCTTGGTTATGAAATGTCACTGAAGCCTTGGGTTCTAGCCGAGGACCAAACCTCTTAAGAAACAATGCTTATGGTATTACTTGCTGCATTGTTCACTTGTTCTATGTGTTAGCCATGTGTGTAAAAAGGTATTGTACCTGATATCTACTAAGTTTGTTTTAGAAATGAAGCTAAACTTTAACCTTGAAGTTACAGTTGTATCCTGTTTCTCTTCAAGTAACATGAATGCATACCACTTTTAAATATTTGGTTGTTCCACAGTCTCACTATCAGCAATGCTCGAAGTGCTTATTTGTTTGTCATGGTTAAAGGACAATTAAATTTCTTGTTTTTAGATTAAGCTAGTACCCTGGTAGCATCACAACATGATTACTTGGAATTGCTTGTAGGATGACTATATAGCAGGGGTTAAGAAGGTTACACAGGAGCATGAAGAACATGAAGACGATGGGGAGCATGAAGAGCATGAGGATATGGAAGAGGTGGAACAAGGGCAAGGGCCAGAACATGAGCAAGAGTTGAATGCAAAGGTGTTGTACGACGTGTCAGGTGGTTTGTCCACCCATGGGCGCTTTGCTATAGGATATGGCGCTGTTAGGGCAGCTGATGTCAGAGCAGCTGCGAAGGAGAATAATGTGAGTCAATCAAATTCAGTTTCAATAAAAGTGTTGGCCCAACAAAATGCAGAACTACGACGAGAAAATGCAAGGCTACATAAAGAGAAGGATAGTGCGATGCAGCAAGGCAAAGTTGCTATAGATCTGACAATGGTAAGTATGTGTGTTGATAGTTTTTTTTCTATAGGCAAACCATTTTTCAAAATCTAAAATATTTAATGTCTTCACTATAGGCACTTTGTCGACGCTTAGGACTGGGACAGGAAATTCCAGAGGCATCCTTACAACTTGCAGCAGCAGCAGCAGCAATGCAAGCAATTGTGAGTACAACTAGCCTAACTTATTATCTTTTCTATAAAATGGTATAATTTTGATGTGGTATTCAGAATGGCAACATGCAGTCCACCAGTGAGGAAGTGGCCTCATCTTGATTCTTGCGTCTGGACTTAAATTGAATTAATTGAGTACTAATGGTAAGGTAGATATTTGCATTGGTTCAGTTCCCATGGACCGGGACTCAGTTGATATCACTAACATCTCTCATTTGGGCCAGCCTTGCACTTCGACGAAGTTTCCCACATTCCTCGACCCCACAAGCTTCTTCAATTAATTTCCATGTCAGCCCAGAAACAGGCTCACCATCCTCTTCAACCCCAGTCCAAAAGGTAGGTTTTGTCATTGTGGAATTAGCTAGGACACCTTTGCTATTCTTCTTGATGTGGCTCAAACCTAAGAATTTGTCCCATTCATCACATTGAGGGTGTGAGTTGCTAGGTTTTTGTCAGTGACTTAGCTTGATCAATGTAGCCCTTGAACTTCTTCATCTTCCCAATTCCTTCTTGGCATTCACAGTATCTAACTTCTTGGCATTCACAGTTTGACTGTTCCACAGAACATTCAGCTACTTGACATGCGGATATGGCCATGTCAACTGTTAATCATTTAGCCTATGCAGTTACATATCCCAGGCTGTTGGTTACTACCAGGCAGTCCAGCATATCCCAAACTGTAGGTAATTAGTACTAGCAAACAAGCAGGGCGGTGTCAGTTTGGTCACCTGCACCTAGAGCTGAAGCTGCTTCAGGTCCTCAATGGCATCATCCAGCATGGAGGCCTTGTCCGTCTGCACTTGCGAAACCATTCGCCAAAAGCAGCAGAAGCAAGAACTCAGCTAGTGGAACCAGAAGGATTAGATGCAGCGGATGACATCCTGCAACTACAAATAATTTAATGAGCAAACTTTAGACAACTATTTAATAAGCAACTACAAATAATTTGTTGAGCAAACTACAATATACTAGGCAGCCATTTATTTAACAATCCATTTATAACTATTTAGTATTTATCATTGCATTCTATTCTATCAGAAAGGAGCAGTAGATGCAATCTTGATGTGTGAGATACTCCATGTCCAGTTCTAAGCAGATGTACTGTTCTGGAATGTTTTTACCTACTGGCTGTTGTTAGCATCTGGAAGATTACTACTACTACTTGTAGCAATCTAACTAATATTTCTCATCATATATGTAGAGGCCACTGGTTCTTCTCATGTTGACTCGGAATCGACCGATGATGACAATGCCACATATGGCCACGATGAAGACAATCTCAATGCCGCATACAGAGCTGCATTGGAAACACTGAACCGAAACCATGCATGAAGGTGGGAGTCATCACAAACAGATAATGCCATTTTGTGTTTGTAGAAGCTGTTGGTAGTTGCCACTTCTAACCTTTAGATAGTAAAGGTGCAGCCAACAAGTTAATGCCAGTTTTTGGGAAAGACAATCAACTAGTTGATGCTTTTGTGAAATTATTATTTATGTAGTGGATGCAAGACCTATGGACATCTTAATTATGTAGCTGTGGATGCAAGACCTATGGACATCTTAATTTGTGGTTGTTGATGCCAACTGTGGGCATCTAATCTATATGTATGGCATGTGGATGATGACAAATTGATGCAATATATGTGTGATATAGTTGAAAACCTTATAGAATTAGATGTAATGTTTGTGCCTATACTGTTATCATGAATATCGTACGAAATTGTAAATAAATGAGGTGCTTCTATGGCCTGGGGATTGTAATTATTTCCTGTCGGTACGTTATAATCATACTGTCGGGAGAGGATGACAGAAAAATGTAATTATCCTGTCGTAGTTAAGTCGACAGAAAACCAGAATTTCCTGTCGGTACGAGGTTATTTTTCTGGCGGTCCACAATCGACAGAAAAGTTTATTTCTTGTCGGTAAACGCATTTTTTCTGTCTTCATGTGTCGACAGAAACAAAATCCTAGACTTGACGACCGAGAACTTCCCTGTCGACGACCCACCGACAAAAAAATTATTGAACCGACAGTAAAATAACACACCCGACAGAAAAATGTTATTTTCCTGTCACTTTAGTCCTGTCGAAATTTTCCTGTCATTTTACTGACAGGAAAATTACTTTTGGTTTTCCTTATCGGTTTTTTGCCTTTTTCTGTCGGTTTTTTACCGACAGGAAATTCTTGGTTCCCAGTAGTGCAAAAGAAATTTTATCTAAAAGGCCAAAACATCTTACAATTTGAAACAGAGCGAGTATCTAGGTGCGTAGCAAAAGTTATGTATCTAAAATCGGTTCATAATTATTATGAAAGTCTAATCAATTTTATTTCAAGCTTGAATTTGTTAGCCAGAAACGAAACAATGATGAGTTTCTAAGATCAGGCAATGGTGGAAACTAGGTTCTTGATTTTCTTACCATGTGGTTCAAGAGAAAGATGAAGATAATAAGGCTCCTGAATTTTATGTGAGGAGAGTGGAATGAGGCTGGTTATAGGATTTGATGAAAATCCGCTGGTCGCTACTGGGAAAGACGACGAATCGACGGAAGAAGCAAGGAAGCTGCTATGGCTGCTACTCTTATCATTATCAGGCCGCCCGACGACGTCACGCGTGACCGCCACAATTCTGCTAGCTGACCAGTGAAATCAAGGAATGGCGGCTTCGACGTAGGTCATACACATAACTGCCTCCGATCCGCATCCACACTACAGGTCCAGGACATCAGGAGGACCTCATCGGGGACCAGGGACAGGGAGGCTATAAATCCCCCGTGCCTTGTCTCTCTCAGCGCCGGCAAGGCTACTACCTCGTCGAAAACATCAGCTACCTCGATATGGAACAGCAGCATTACCCCTCCTACTGTTACCCTGCCACTGCCAATGTGTCTTCCGCGCCGCCCGCCATCGACGCGACAGACGACAGCGACATGCTACTGCAGCTTGAAGCCTTCCTCCTCGGCACCGACGACGCTGAGCCCGCCGCCGAGGCGGTGTCCTCCGACTGGTCGTCTTCCTCCTCCGCCCCAACTTCCCCAGATGTGGGAGCGGTAACGAAAACCACCGTCAACACTGGCGACAATCAGCATCGGGTCCCGGGTACGGATGCCTCCAGCTGCAAGAAGCGGCAGGCCTTGATAGGGGTACGCAAGCGGCCGTGGGGCAAGTTCGCGGCCGAGATCCGCGACTCCACGCGCAAGGGTGCCCGCGTGTGGCTCGGCACCTTCGACATCCCCGAGGCCGCCGCGCTGGCCTACGACCAGGCCGCCTTCTCCGCGCGCGGCGCTGCCGCCGTCCTCAACTTCCCCGTGGAGCGCGTGATGGAGTCGCTGGGGGCGCTCCAGCTCCAGCTCCCCGGCACAGGGAGGTGGTTCCCCTGTCCTCGCGCTCAAGCGGCGCCACTCCAAGCGGACGCGGAGGCGCAAGGTCGTCGTCTCACCTGTCATCGACGACGTCAGCAATAATACTTCCACGGCACGGTTGCAGCAGCAGCCGGTGCAGCAATGCTCCGACGCGTCGAGCTCCAGTATGGCTGTGACTAGTGTGCCGGAGCAGCAGACGACGGTGCCCGGCCAGTGCCACTGCGGCGTTGTCGAGCTAGAGTACCTTGGCGACGATTACATGCAGGACCTCCTCCGGATATCATCCGAGTTGGATTATTATTAGTTGCCACTTGGCAGGTTACCTTTTACTTATCTGGGTTTTTATGTGTAAATAGTTTCTGCATTAAGAGTTTCTTTTCAACTATTTGTTTAATCCAAAAATCATTTGTTCTTTAAACAAATGTTCTGAAACTATCAATTATTGTCATGACATTAACATGTTTGCTTCATGAATTACCTTCATTTTTAGGCAGATTGGTACCGCATTTGTCAAACTTAGCATCTTTACTGAAATCCACAGGAATATAGGAGATATATTCTTTCAAGAATATTTAAGCAAGCATGCTCAGCGATTAATAATAGGTCTATGTTTATGGAGATGCCACTTGCTGCACGAAGCTTCCAAGATGGAAGAACAGAGGCTGCGCTCCATTAGTGACCAGGCCAAACATCATCGGGGTGTCATGTGGAGGAGCCCATACCCTTTTCCCACACTCGATATGTTGGACAAGTCAATTCAATCCATCCAACCATTTCAGTCCAGTCCATCCAACCGGAAGGCTATAAAACTCTGTCACGCTACCATGCCAGCATTGCCTCGTTCAGCTTGCTGAAACTTGGCTGAAATTGACTGAAAAACACTGTTTTTGCTGAATTGTTGTGAGACAAAAACACTGTTCCAGCTAAAAAAACAAGCTGAATAGTGCGGATTTTTGGGTAAGCCGAACGGGGCCATATCTCCTTCCCCTGCCAACAGAATAGAGCACCAGCACTGTCTCTCGTCCTCCTGCTCCTACTGCCACCCTGCTACGGCACCACCAGCCGCGACGGAGTCACCGGACTTCAACGCTGCCGACGGCTGCGACGTAATGTAGATGCAGCTCGACGCTCTCCTCCGCCAGATGGAGGACGACGAGAGCTCCGCCTCGTTCTCCTCCGCTTCTTCCCCGGCCTCTTCTTCAGAGGCTAGAATGGTGCCAAAAGCGCTCACGCCATTCGACTTTTTTATTTTTAGCCTTTTTTTAGAAAATATTCATGTATACATCCCTGGAGGTTTCCTTTCATTTTCTAGACCCTGAGCTCAGCGTCGTAGCAATTGGCGCCGAGGTTACACGTCTCGGCGTCATGGTCATTGGCGCCGAGGTCCAGGGTCATTTTCTAAGAGATGTGGATCACATGTCGCCAGCTCGGCGCAGAGCTCTGGCCAGGGGGGCCCATGCTCGGACGAACTTAGTCAAATTCTAACATGTCCATCTGACAGTAACATTTTAGGGTGCCCAAAATATGATAATTTAAAGCTAGTGTTAAATTTAGACGGGAAAGGAGAGAAATACAGGAACAAAAGGGCACTGCCGCGTGGGGCGCACTGGCCAGAGCTCGGCGCCGCTGCCTATGGATCCACGACGCTGAGCACGGCGCCAAGATCCACAGCGCCAAGCTCGTAACACCTCTAGCACCTAGGTTAATGCCTGATAGCGAGTAAATAGTGAATGACTTGTTTATTTGATTAAGCATGAAGAACAAAAAATTATAACTTGTATTTAGTACTTAAATAAATTCGAAGTGTAACTGTGGATTTGGTGAATAGGTGTTGTTCTATGGTATTTCTGATAGCTCAAAGATCGAATTTCGTTCCGTCGGCAAACTAATGATTTGTGTTTAAAAGTGCTATCTTGGGTGAATTATATAGTGGAACCTACTTAAATAGCGCTTTAATATTTTGTTCCACGAATTAGTATGAAGTATGGACTATGTCATGCTATGTTGTTAGTTGAAGTCGACGAGGTTTAAACCTTGTAAAAATTAAGGCAAAAGTGTTAACAGGTGTTAAGTTCTAACGAGTCCCTTGTAAATTGCTAACTCAAGGACGACATAGCCGATGCTACTTTGGCATTTAAAACTTAACAAAAATGATTAAACAATATATCCATGTTTTTGTATAGTTTGATGATTCACGGTGAGTACCTTGGCTTGGTGTAGTTCATAGGTTGGTTTAACGTTGCGGGGTTACCCCAAAAATATCCCGAAGTTCTTTCGAAACACGCTGTAACCCATATTCCGGAACTCGGTTCGCGAACTGGTGCTGAAGTGACGAACCCAAGTTGGCGCGCTTGTATCTTCCTCTCAGTTGGCCAATTTGTTGTGCAGATTGCTTCGCTGGATAGCCGGTGGTGTGGACTGTAGGTTTGTGGAATTGGTTTAGCTTTAGTCGGGTTTTTAAGTGGTTTTTGGTCTGCTTTAAATAGCGTGCACGCCACCGTTTTCATCTTCCGGTTTGTGTTCGTGGTCACCACGCCGCCGAGTGCTGACCGGCTGCGGCCGCGCGCGCCGTGGCATCGGCCGGTCTCGGCCGACAGTGACCTGGCTGACCCACGCTGCCTGCCTTGCCGCGCGCCGTTGTTGCCTCGCTGCTGCGTTGCTGGGCGCGCATGGGCAGTCACGGTGAGCCGTTGTGCCCGCGTCTTGTCACGTCCCATCGCGCCGTGCTTGGCCAGCGCCACGCAAACCTAAGCATTTATGCACGTCACGACATCGCGCTTTATGTGCGGATGCTGCACGCTGTGTCGCTGCGCCTGCGCCGTGAACGTCTCGTCGAGCTACCGCCTTGTCGGGTTGTCGATGCCCTTCCCGCGCGCTCACCGTTTTGCTTCAGCCGCCCGCTCTCGGACAAGGCCAGGTGGTCCCATCGAGTAGCCGCCTGTCTCCGCTGTCCGGTAGCGTAGCCGCCTTGGCACTCGCACGCCACAGCAAGGCAAATCACGCCCTATGTCGTGCACTGCTGCCCACTGTGACCTGTCGCGCCCTCGTGCTGCTGTTGGGTCGATTCTTCATGTCAGTAGCTAGGTCACGAAGCTAGCTAAACGCCCAACCCGCATAGAGAACCAAAAGTGCACTGTTGCCGGCCAATTTGGCATTTCCGTCGCCGCCGGTCAGTTCGCCGCCGGAGTAGGGCGCAATTGGGGGTAAGGCCCTAATCGTCGGTAGTGGTCGATTGTTGGCACCAGTAGTCGCGTTTTGATCCCCTCTATTGTGTGCTCACCCTCCTTCGGCTAGGTTTCTCGCCGGCGACGCGGTGACTCGGCCATGTCCACCTTAGAGCGCCGCTGCCCTGGTCGCTCGCACGTGGCCAGGCCGGCTCGACCGTCCTTCGCTCCAAACGGCTCCACGGCGCGGACTGCAGTGAGCCCCTGCTGCTTTCCCACCGCCTCTAACTCTCCGTTAGCATCCTAGGACGCCGGCATGCTCGCGCCACCGTGGCTGGCGGCTCGGCGGAGCGGACAGAGCGCTGGGACCATAGTTTATCTTCCAACCGCCGCCTAGGAGCTCGTCTTGGCCCCGCGGCGCTCATCGGCTTGCTCGGGTCACCGGTGCCCCGCTCTGCAGGGCGGCGTAGGTGGGCTATGCCGGCCAGAGCTGCGCCGCTGCGCCCATGCACGACGGGGGTTTTGTAATTGCGAAGGTGACGTTTTTCGTGGTGCTCGGTGCTAAGTCTGTCTCTGTTGTAATAGTGCGCGGAGTCGTCGTGTGATAACCACGTAGTACAGGGACTCTTCTGCAAAAATCGCCGGCGCTCACGTGGGCTCCGCGTCGCGGGCCGCTCATTGGTCTGGCCTGCTGCCGTCGCGCCTGCGCCGCGCATGGGCCGACTGGTTGGGCCGCTAGCGCCTGGTCCCCGCGTTGGGCCGCGTCGCCGCGCATGGGCCACTCACACCACGCGCGCGCCGTGCCCTGCCTGGGCTGCCTTGCCGTTGGACCAGGCCAAACGGGCCGTTGGGCCGATAGGGGGTTGCCGCCGGCCTATCCATTTTCTAAATGCTTTTCTAATATAGGTTTTTAGTTAACTTGTAAAATCTATATAAAATAGTAGAGGAATTCAAAAATTATGAAACTAATTTTCTTAGGTTCCTAAATCAGGATCTATTTGTTAGTATAATTTGTTCACCTAGTTTTAAGATGTTTCCAGGGTTGCTCTAATTGATTTAAAATGCTTAATATTGTAAAAATATAAACTTGTAGGAATTGTTATGATAAATTAGTAATAGTGTTGGATCTGAAATTGTTACAGTAGGTTCCTAGCGATATCAGGTACTCACTGTAATTTTTGTAGCACCAGAATAATTAGTTGCTAGATAGATAATGATGCCCTATTTTGAATAAAGATTAAATCGATAGAACGGGATAAAGTAACTCCGTGGAATTGTATAACTAAAACACTTGTGGGGGAATTGACACATTTCTTGACGATGTTGATACGTAGACCAGCGTTAGAGCTATCTCGTTAGCTTGTGAGGCGTGATTGGATTTCTAAGCATTTCGGCTGTCGTTGATTATTTACATCTATATATTTGCATCAATGCATATCATATAGGTACGATGATGGATCAACAGATCAATTGAAGGATGACCGGGAATCTGAAGATGGTATAATGGTATTCTCCCCAGAAGATGATGCAATGTACTTTCTATTCAGTTGATGGTGGATGATCTAAAGATGTAGATACTAACTTTTTAATATATATCTTACCCAGGCAAGACTCGGTGCATAACCCCTACTTTTTCTGCACTTTAAATTATATTTGTGCATTAAGTTTTAAGGAGTAGATTAATACCCACTTGCATATATATATCGTTATCCTATGAGTCTTACTAGTATGACAGGATCGTGTAGATTGCTATTCTATAGGACTCCGGTAGAAGTCGAGTGATTGCCTGTCACTCACGAGAGATAGGAAATATATTACTGTATTATTATCACTTGAAAAATATAAATGGTGGAAAGGAAAAATGGTGACCGGACAGGGATATGGTTTGGGTATCGGTGGGTGTAAGAGGTTGTGTCCTGTGGCTAACGGGACATAGCT